TGTGTGTGTGTGTGTGTGTGTGTGTGTGTGTGTGTGTGCATGCGCGCGCGTATGTGTGTGTTTTACCTGAAAAAACAGGCTGTCCCCACACTGCCTCCAGAGGATTTCAGAGCGTGGTTTATTCTGACAATACTTTTCATACACCTGAAGCTCTTCTTTCTGAGAGCACAAACACATGTCCAAGTGAGAAGAGGGAAGGCTATTAGGTTTCTCAGTTTCTGTTCAATTCAATCTTTAGTTTTAAAAGTTTGCCACCTTTCTATGAATTTATATGAATATTAAAGGAACCCTCTAGGATATGAATCGAGACAACAAATTTGTTGTGCAAAAATAGAGTGAACATCTTTGTAATTTCGCATGTTATCTGAATAAAAACAACCGTACAACAATACAAAGTATTGGACTTTAAAACCTGGAGAAAAAGGTTCCAACTAAAAAACTAGACTTATGATAGATCTATGATAAATGGCTCACCTGAAGTCTTTGTGTATTAGTACTTTTAGAACTTCAAATCTGTAAGTTAAAGACTTGGCTCCTCCCCGACTTGGGAAATTAGATTATGTGTGCAGTAATTTCTCACTATTATGTAAATAGTTTTTTAACATAAAAACTTACAGCTTTGTGTGTTTTCTTAAGTCTCTGTTGATGGATTTCACACAAACCAAAGACAACACAATAAGTATGTCAATGCTAAGCATGAACAAATTCGATTCACAGTATCAGATCTCCCTGTTTCAAAGAATGGAAGGTCTGGTTTTACCTGTCTAATGATAACTAGATGACAAAAGATTATGGCTTTGAATAACTATCATTGCTCTATATTGTTGTTAAGTCTCAGCCCATGAATAGATCATCTGTGACAAAAATCTGCTTCTCCTTACTTTCTCTACATGCCCAGTGAAGTGCGAATTTGCGCCAGTAATCAGACTCCTTGCCTGTTAGCCCGCAGACCTTTAATGAAGATCTCATTACTCTTTATCTGCCTATTTTTGAAGAATTGTCAAGTCTCGACCTTTAACTTCTTTTGTAAAAAAAAAAAAAAAAAAATGGCTATCTCCATGCCACGTCTCAGCCTTAAAGACGTTTAAGGTTTACAACCTGAGGTCCTGGCAAGGAATTCATTTTCCAGACACCTGATTCTGGAGGGTGTCTATTTTCAGTTTCACCTGCAAAACCTGAAAGGTTTCATTAGTTCCTGTCCTCAGATCCTTCGGGTACCTTTTCTCATATTTCAAAGCAGCATTTGGTTCACTGGACTGAGGAGTTGATACTTGGAAACTGGAACAAATGTTTGCTCTGTCAATGTGTGAATTGTTGGCTGGACATTTTTTTTCACATTAAAGAACAACAAATATTGCTAGTGAGAGACATATTTTTTCCATTATGTCATTAGTTTCTCAGATATGGCAGGAAAAGTATTCAAGTGTCCCTGGTGTGGGTGCATTTAAAGTAAGAGCAAAATATATCATGTTATTCCTTGTACTGTTAAAAGTGCACTGTTATAGCCATGGAGAAAAAAGTAACCACTAACGTAAAGGAAGTACTAATATAAACCCTTTTACAGGTACTTGCGGGTATTTCTAAATACCCACTCTTTTCAGAAAACAGGTTCCAACCAGCTCTGGTTTCTCTGCACAGTTCTCCAGCTCCATGAGAAATGTCCTGCAGAAAATACATGAAAACAAAGTAAGAAAACAATACACATTGCATCCCAATTACTTAAAACTGATTAGGTGTATGCAAATTACATAATCTTTAGGTCTAGTTACTTTAGTCTTTTAATTAGATCTTAGTTAAGTTGGTAAATCTAACTAATCATCAAAGTGATCTGTTAAGAGATGTCGTACTACCATTGAATTCATGAAATAATAAAATCTCTCAGCATTTGATATGTTTTCTGTTTTCTACTGTCAGTAAAACATGAGATTTGCAAATTAGTGTATTCTGTTTTTAAATACATTTTACACATTTTCTCAGGTTTTGATATTTAAATAAATTCACAGAGATACATATACTGATATGAACCACACATAATTGCCTTAACAAGAAGCAATGGGGAGGTGTGGTTTGTGTGCAGTGCATGCTTTGACTTCCTGTTAGTCCAGTTTTTTAGAAATTCTTTAGGGAGAGCTTTTGGTTTAAAATTACAGGATTACCTGAGTGCAACCGGTATATCATTTAATAGTACAAACTGACAGCTATTTGAATGATGCACATTTGCCATCAAGTGAAATATGTTTCTCCAGGCAAAAGATACTTTAAGAGAAGGCACATTACCAGTCATCTGGTAATCCTTTAAAAGAGGAGTTGTTCATATATCACAGTTTTCTGTGATATATCTTTGCTGACATCAGTGTTTCCAAGTTATAGTTGTGTATATGTCGAGGCCAATGGCAAAATAAAGTAAATTCCACCTACTTGTTGTGAAATTCATATATCTCCGGCAGGTTTCCAAACAGCACATCTCTTTTGTTCTCAAGTGATGGTGGCATGAGGTGGCTAAGCTCAGAGTTATTCAGCTCTGCAAAATAACCCTGGGAATCAGGGTGAGAGGGAGGTTCAAAAAATGAAATAATAAAGAAACAACAGCGAAATGTAAAAATCAGTCAGTCTCACTTCAGAGACATCAGTATAAAAAAAACAAATACACTAAAAAAATACTTTTGCACTGATCCTTTTCTTTTTTTGATTGCGAAACGAATTACATTTACTGCATTACATACCACAGCATTGTACAAGGGTGTAGTCACTTCTGCATTGCTTTTTCTTTACATTTTCTTTGCACTACTTTTGCAGTGGCAGGAAACTGAGAGAATGTCAGTCTAGATCCAATGTGTATGAAAACAATAGGTAAACTGTGTCTACCTAGAATGATCCTTTAACAGTTAAAGAACTTTTTAAAATTCTATAACAATTCTGGGAGATGATTAGAAGATTTAAGGACTGTTTACTGTAGTAGCTTTGTTCTCAAGATGTAAAACAGGTGCAATTCCAAGTAAGCAGTTCAGGTCGGCAGCTTTTTGGATGCAAATAAGCCACAACCATGTAAAATGGATACAAAGATCTCAGTCACTTGAAATACTATACCTCCATGATGCTTTGCAGCTCCTCAACATACAGCCTTTCTGTTTCAATTAGTTCAGTCATGATATGCCTGCAAACAGAAAAAAACTTTTTTTTTTCTTATCACACTGACTAAACTAAAAAATAAGCACAGAGAGTCACTTGTGTTCACCAGTCTTCACATGTATTGTATGTATTTGCAGTCTGATGTTGATGCACTGAGTTAATTGCTATAAAATTAGTTATAGGTAGCCAATGTGGGCAGAGGGTAGATTTTTATTCAACTACACGATTTCTTGACATTCCATGGACTGTTTATGTCTACTCTCCTACAAGTCCATGCGTGTTGCATTTTAAAGATTGATCTGAAGTCAGTATTTAGAACAAGAGACACTGAGTAATCCATGACAGGAATCCAAAACATGTCTATGCCAAGTGGTATGAAAAAACTCACAGACTTATCTGTTCTGTCATTGGTCTAGATTTACAGATTTGTGCTACAACAGCACAGGCCTCAGGAAAAGCCCTCAGACTGTAACTGAAGCACTTCCTATAACTTAGTTATATCTAAGAATGTGTAGGAGCACAATGGGCTAGTCTTGTCTGCTCATTACCTGAATGTGTATGAATCCTATCTTACAACTTGCTCACAAGATAAGTACTGACTCTGATTTGTGCAATTTTACACATGACTTCTCCTCCCCCTGACATGCATAATTAAGTTATTTACAGCTGAAATAGCTATGTAAGGACATGTCTTGGGGTCAGTAACAAAAAAATTACATAAACATAAAATTAGTTTGGTTCAATTTGTGTTGTCTATTTGGAAATAATACATTTACAGTCTTTGTGTCATTTAAAACCTACTACTACTATCACCATCTATCCTCCTCCCACTTCAGATGACACACTCCCATCTCTCAAGCTCTCTTTGTCGCACTGAAGCTTCCAAGGCAAACAGTGCACACACTTAAAGCCATCCTCTGCTGAACAGTTCAAGAAAATCCGAAAGGAAGAAGACAACAGAAAAAGCTGATGAACAGAAATAAATCGTAGAAAAACAAGAAACACAAAATCAGTTGGAAAGCGTGAGGAAGATAAAGTTCGACGGGTATGTGGATTCTTGCTTGAGTGATCTGGTAAGTCAGGAACAGTGTGTATGTGAGCTTGCTTGCTGACTGGCATGTGTAATAGCAGAATAGTGTCAAGGCTACAGGTATCAGGTTGTAGTAGTTAACTCAGAGAGGTGGAGAACAACAAAGCTCAATGTGTAAAGTAAATACAGGCAAATACTACTAGAACTCAAAACACCACAGAAAAAAAGCACAAATTGTGCTGTATTGTACAATTTACAGTAAACATCACCTAGAATACTGATATCTGTAACTTATAATAGCTTTAAAATAGTATCAATTTACAGAAGCATCTACTTCCACAACTTTTGGTATTTGGTGTCAGGGCTCTGTGTGCGGGCAGGCGGAAGTGAGGATCCAAATGCAGGACTCAGACACTGAATGCAACTCAAAGACCACAGCTTTATTACTGGCGCAAAACAAAACATGAATCAAACTGAGATTGCTAACACAAGAACACACAGGTGATTCTGAGGGTACGACGCAACACTGACACAAAGCAACACGGGGCTTAAATACATTGAGGCATAGTCAGAGAATGGAAAACAAGAGGGAGACATAGCTGGGAAAGATTAGGGCTAACGAGACACGGGGAGCGAAGCTTGACACACTGACATAAGACATAGCCCTTCAAAATAAAACAGGGAACAACTCACAAAGATGCAGACACAGAACTAGACCTATACTAACCATGGGACACAAAACCTAAGAACTAAACCCTAGACCAGAATAAACTGACACAGATTTGTAATAATAATCAAAACAGGATAACTAAAGAATCAGACATAAATCACAATACAGAACAATACCAAAAAACATAACAAACTGAAAATACTGGGTCAACATGACCCATAACTGTGACATTTGGCTTTGCTTTATGTTCAGCAGGTCAGCTGTGTGAAGTAACAAATTTATCAAAAGTAAGAATGTGGATTCATTTCCCCCTTTGTTTCTACATAACTGCAAGGATGATGATCCCAATAGAGGCAGGCAATCACAACTTATCTAACTTTATGTACCGTATTTCCCGGACTACAAAGTGTTTTGGAAATGACAGTTTTCATCACAAAGCTTTCTTCGTTATGAATTAGCATACATGTTTTTATTGAACATTTGAAGAACTAGCAAAAAAACCCCCAAAAAAAAAAAACAAACTCTTGTAGAGGACATAAAGTCAGAGATAGAAAAGACAAGGAGCAGGTGCATCTAGTACAGGTAGAGCTGCTGCAAAAACCCACAGAGCCCAGCAGCCAGCGTAACAAATTCTGGATCCTTTGCTTTTAGTTAGCAGTTAGCATTAGCAGCACATCCTGCGTCCGATGTGAAAGGACTTTTATGCTGCGCACTGTGACTCACAGCAATGGTCCTGGGTCAGCCCTGACTTTGTGTTAAACTAATCCTAAAGTAATAATGGTATTTCTAACCACTGATATACCACAACTTTTTCCTTTCAACAGCTACTGAAAGTTAGGGGACCTAGCTGCTATCGGATATTTATATAGCGATCCTCCAGCTTCAAACTGTATCACCCTTCAAGGACCTGGGCCCTATTTCAGGAAGCCGGTTTAGAAAACTCAGAGTGAAAAACGATACTCAGGGTTGAGTAACCCCGAACTGTCCAACTCGGAATATTCGGTTTCAGAAAGGCTGATAACAATTAGTTCAGTCAACGCGGAGTTGCTTTAACCCCAAGTTAAGCGCGCGACGAGGATACATAAAGCCCTGATTAGTGGAGCACAGATTAAGCGAGTCACCATGGAGACGGAGGGAAAGAAGGCGCGGTCAATGTATTTTACAGCGCTTGAGGCCGAAATTCTGATGGCAGCATATGCCGATAACATGCAAATTTTGCGGAAAAAAGTAACACAGCCTCAGCTGCAAAAGAAAGGGAGCATGCATGGCAAAACATAGCCGACAGAGTCAATGCGTGAGTGTTAATTTAAACATTGATCTAGGGATTTCCACCCATTTAACACGTTATTTTATTATATTTTATTTTATTTTTATTTTATACATTTTATTTTGTGATGTGATGTGAGCGCAGGTGCAACCCAACAGGCCCCAAACGTTCCTGGCAGCAAGTAAAAATGAAATATAAAAATATAGTCCAAACAGGTAAGGTGTAATTGTATTATGAGCCATAGTGCTTGGTCTGTTTGTCCGATGTAAATCAATTGCAGTTAGAGGCTACATTAATTTCCCTTCTGTAAGCACTTATTGAAATTATCTGAGCACATTACAAGTACATATTTGCTTACTCTGTATGCTCAAATGTGACCCGTTATAGCCAACAGAAAAAAAAGCGGAGGCCCGAAAAACAGGTGGGGGTCCTCCACCACCACCACTCACAGAGGCTGAGCAGTTGGCTTCCACATTTGTGATAATGTTGGCAGCATCACATATGATCTTCACAGTGCAGAGAACACAAATTAGCATCCATTACTATAATGAAATAATTTGTTAGTTTGAAATGCTACAGGGAACTATGTACCTGTACATTAATGCTGTGGAAAGACTTCCTGTTCACATAGTCTCCTTCATTTACTGAAGGAGCAATGATTGGAATGTGAGTGCCATCTATACAGCCAATCACGCCTGGGAACCGTGAAGAATAAATGTAAAATTTAAGTAGTAGTTCAAGTATCACCACATCATGAATTAAGTTTGTTCATCCTGATACCTGCAATTTTGTGGAATCCCTCTTTGATAAATCTTGTGGGTCTATGACCGGGGAACACCACAAACGAGTACAGGAGACGTTTCAGTGCAACTGTAACATTCCTGACTGCCCGACAGACGGTAGCCTTGGAAACGTGCTCAGCGTCACCAATATTATACAGAAAGCTCCCGTTTGCAAAAAACCGAAGTGCAATACAAATAATATGTACAGAACTGAGAGCATGTCCGCGATGTGTCACATGAGCAATATTAGGCCTGAGGATGTTATTCAAATAAATTATAGATTGTGCTGAAAAACGGTAACGTTCACACAGGAAATCATCAGGAAATGATAAAATGTCCAAACGCGCTCTAATCACTCTCTCCCGGCGGAGAGCTCTGCGGAGAATTTGGGCTTCAACATCTACTGGCTCTTCAAGGAAGGGGCACGCCATGTCTGTCAGGTTTCCGACAAAGAGGCGGAGAAAGTTAGGGTTAGTTGTAACTTGCAGGGTTTTTTTTGGCTAAGTCCACACACAAATCTTTTTTACACACACAAATCTTTTTTACACATACAAAACTGATTTACAAGTACAAAATATTTATGACCACATTTTGAGCCCATACAAATCCTCGTTGTCAGTGTCAGAGTCGAACACCCTCTGAAGGGCCGTGGCGGTGTCCTCCTCTCCATCATGCAGCAGTCCAGCCCTTCGAAATCTGTTGGTGATCGTGGATGTTTTCACACTTTTCCACGCTGTCAGATTCCACTGGTGGAGTTGAGCATAACTTGCTTTTCGCAAGTTTATCGCTGCTCATCATCCACGCCTCCTGCTGAATGCGTAGCGCTACTTTGAAGTTTGTTTTTCGCGCTATTTTGTACGGCCAAGAGTGGTATGTTGTGACCAACATACCACTCTTGAACCCCGATACTGTGTGTCTGATCACATGCCCTTCCGCCAGGCAACGTAGTGCCGTACAACAGCGGAAGAAACAAAACAAATCGTCTTACGATATGACAAAAATCATGGACAATCCATAGAAAAGCCGCACCTGACTAAAAGCCGCAGGGTTCAAAGCTTGTGCAAAAAGTAGCAGCTTATAGCCCGACAATTATGGTACTTATTTAATTCTGAAATTAAAAACCAAATTTCAATTTTAGGTGTCATTCACATCACCTTTAATGACGGATCTCAGTTCAAAAAGCTTCTAATGTTTGCCTTTTAAATAAGAAAATATGGGAAATCGAAATCTGACAAAATCTAACAAAAGCACAGCACTGAACTGACTATCAAGCTAGGTTGAATTAACAAGTTTTGAGTGCATATGGAAAAAAATGGACATGGTCTACAATATAACACATCCCCTGGATCATATAAGTTTGATGCGGCCCTCACATTGCTGATAAACATAAAAAAACAAGGCCAGCCTTTTGCTTTATTTTGTTTGTCCTTGTGCACCTTCAAAAAAAAGCACACCTTCATTTATCTGTAAAACTGAATATATGTACCACTGTGTGCTCACCTGTTACAGATGTAATCTGGAGTCTGTACACCAACCCTCTATTGCTATAAATCATTTGCTTAAATTCAAAACGCCTCATTTACAAGGCCAGCAGTGTTTGTGAGAAATAGTCAAACACATTTATGAGCAGTAGTCTACAGACATTTTCACAGAACACACTGACGTTTGACTTTTGAAAAAAGTTAAAGATGTGACCATCAGTATATACAAAGATACTGAGTCATTATTAAAAATTTGCGCAGTAAAGACTCCAGTTCTTGTTCCTGTATTTCTAGCAGGTTGAAAAAGTTGCATTTCCCAGCACAAAAAAGGTAATGGGAGAAAACCCTCTCAATGACTTGGTTTCAAACAGCAACACCAGAGCATTAATATCTACTGATATCTAGAATTATGGCATCTATAAGTATGTAATAACTTTCAGAACAGAAGCTGAGGGAGACTTGAATTAGTATTATAGCTATTATGATTAAAATCCCTAGCCCTTTTCTTCTTGAAAATGAACATGAAAGATATGCTAGCAATGGAAATACGATCCAACATAGGCGCCAAACTGGGGGGGGTTTTTTGAGATAAGATTATCTGTTAACAAAAGTTTGCCTGTTGAACTATTTTTTTGAACAGTTAGCGATTAATATTATCTGACCTTTTCCAAATTTGAGGGTCATTCTACAGACATGGTTTCATTTTATGTATTCAGGTTTATCCCTTATTTGAAGATTTCTTCCAAGCTAACGTTTTGAATGTCTAATTATTTCCTGTAGCACCATTTAAATATATGAAAATGCACAAATTACTGCTTGATGAGCCCTCATGTACAAAGGTATTAGATCATATCATGGTACATTGTTATCACAAGACCATAGGATGTCAGCACTTCAGTTTTCTCATCCTGACTGAATAAGGTAAAAATATGCTGCAGCGAAAATATGTGTTTACACTGTTATGTAGCAACATTCACAGACGTCAGCAGCTTCACTGCTGAGGGGCTGTGTTGGACTAAACCCCCTCTATTATAGGTCTTTGTGCTGGTTCGGCAATTACATTCAGTGTGTTGTTTGCAGAGTGAATCAGTTAGCCAGTGTCGTTAACAAGCGATTTATTATATACACTGACAATTCTTGTGTATTTACATGGGAAAATCTGATTGTACAATGCCAGATTAAATATAGTGAAAAATATCTCTGACCCTTCACGACCTCTGAAATTTTGACCAGCAATAATAGAAATCACATGAATGAAAGACTTCAATGGAAATGAGAGCGAGAGCAAGGGGAAGGATGCCGTTTATGGTTGCTTTATGAGCGGCCATGTGCAATTGAGGTCATTAATAAACCAGTCAGTTGTGCTCAGTTAATTTGTGATAAGACTCACTCAAACACCAGCTTACTTTATCTATTTAACACTGTAGTTTATTTTACTGAGTTGTTATGCTACAACTAGGGCACTTCATGAAGCTACTGATGTGACGGTCTTAGATAGTAATTTCTGAGCTTGTGCAATGATAAACATCCTTTTTTTTTAGAACTGTACAGTTGTTACATTTTTTTAAAAATTCCAGGTATTACTGAAATACTATTAGCACAATCAAGTCCAATCAACTCAGTCAAATCAGTTGGCAAAAAGCACTTTGTGTCTGAGTGAACAACTTTAACCAAGTTGAATTAAGAAAAAAAATTGTTAAGTGCCATTCCTACTGTTTTTATTTCATTTGCCAAGAAATTATCTTTACACAAGTCATGTAAGTAAATTCTAATCAATTAGCAACTGTCACCTAAATATTGGCCTTTTAAATGCAGAGTCACGACTCAAATGGAACTGGGAGCTTGTTGTCACATAAGGATGTATAAATGCCGAGTGTGCTAGAAGGTTTCATGCTAGAGTATAGAAATGCCATTTGAAATTTTGAAGAGACGTGAGTGTGTAGCCAACTGAAAACACATTACAATTTACATGATAATGTTAAATGCTTAGGAACAGTTACAGCCAATAGTAATGAAAGGTATTAGTCATATCAAGAGGAATGAAACTGAAGCCATAATATCTCATGCTCAATCATCAAGGTAAGGAAATCCTGGAAAGTTGACGTGGTTCAACTAGTTCATAGTGTTTTCTGTGGGAGAAACATTTCGTCACTCAACCAAGTGACTTCCTGGGTCTTGGCCAGTTTACAGTTATAAACAGTATGTTTGTATAATGATTGAAATAATTTCCATTGCCTAACAATGAGCGGTGAGGTTAGTTTCTGTCATTATCATGCAAATTGACATGATTGATATCCATGAGCGTTATTCAAAACGGTTTGGAGAATGGCTACAATCGCTATGAAAGCATCAACCACTGCGGACGTACTCCCATGCAGTCCAACATCCCAAATGCAATTGTGGACGTGGCTGATATATCCGTCTGATTGGTATCCTAATTGGTTGACAAGTGGGCTATAGCCCACCTTGAAAAATGAGATAAAAGATTACAAAATACAATGTTAAAACCGCAGATAGTGACTGTAGTACACACTTCATAGTTTTTAACACTATGTTTCACTTTGTTTCTCATTGTATGTTATAACTTCACATGCCTTACATGCTGGCTAATGGTCCAACAACTGAAGGAAGAGGGTCCAAAAACTAGTTGTACCAGATACTGTCATGGTCCTGAGTCTGACGACTCAGTGTTTTGTGTTTCTTTATATTATTCTATGTTCTTGTTTATTCTGTTATGTCTTTTGTTTAGGTTTGCTATGTGTTAGGGTTTTGTTTTATGCCAGCCTGTGTTCCCTCTGTCTGTATTTTATAATTTATAGTAAATGTCCATAT